GATTAACCTGTAGATTGATAAAAGAGTATGCCAAAATTTTCAGCATATTTTAGGTTGTTGTCATCTGTAGATGCCAATAGGAAAAAGCTCCCTCAAAGGGAAATGCTAAACAGAGAGGTGAACATTAAAGCCATGGGAGAAACTTTAAAAAGCATTGCAAACAGGGTGATTTTAAATTGGTAAAAAGTCAATGAAAAACTAAAATGCTGCAAGCTTTAGACCAGATAGTCAAATCAAATCAAATCAAATCACTTTTATTGTCACATCACATGTGCAGGCACACTGGCACAGCACATGCGAGTGAAATTCTTGTGTGCGAGCCCCACAAGCAACAGAGATGTGCAAACACAACAACACAAACGAGCAAAATACAAGAATGGCCAACCTGAAACTAATAAATATATGTACAATATATAATAGTGTATGCATTTCTGGATGTGTATACTAAATATTTTCCTACGTGTGTGTGTGTGTGTGTGTGTGTGTGTGTGTGTGTGTGTGTGTGTGTGTGTGTGTGTGTGTGTGTATACACATTTTTACAAATTAAATAGTAAAAAATAAATAAATAAATAAATAAATTTTAAAATAATTTTTAAAAATTTAAAAATTAAAAAAATAATAATAATAATAAAATATATAAAATATACAGAGTTGAATATGTGCAAAACAAGTGGCATTTATATACAGTGTGGAGTGCATAATGTTGAAGTTCCAGTAGTGAAGCTGAGGTGTCTATGACGTGTTCAGCAGTCTGATGGCCTGATGGAAAAAGCTGTCTCTCAGTCTGCTGGTACGGGACCGGATGCTGCAGAACCTCCTTCCTGATGGAAGCAGTCTGAACAGTTTATGGCTGGGGTGACTGGAGTCCTTGATGATCCTCCCCGCTTTCCTCAGGCAGCGCTTCCTGTAGATGTCTTGGAGGGAGGGAAGCTCACCTCCAATTATCCGTTCAGAGCACCGCACTACTCGCTGGAGAGCTTTGCAGTTGTAGGCGGTGCTGTTGCCATACCAGGTGGTGATGCATCCAGTGAGGATGCTCTCAATGGCACAGTGATAGAAGGTCCTGAGGATGCGGGGGCTCATGCCGAATCTTTTCAGTCTCCTGAGAAAGAAGAGGCGCTGCTGTGCCTTCTTCACTGTTTTGTTTGTGTGTACTGACCACGTAAGATCCTCAGCCAGATGTACTCCAAGGAACCGGAAGCTGCTCACTCTCTCCACAGCAGCGCCGTTGATGGTGATGGGGGTGTGTACTTCTCTGCACCTCCGGAAGTCCACTATCAACTCCTTTGTCTTTGCGACGTTGAGGGTGAGATGGTTGTCTTGACACCAGTGGGTCAGGGCGCTGACCTCCTCCCTGTAAGCCGTCTCATCACCGTTGGTGATAAGACCCACCACTGTAGTGTCGTCCGCAAACTTCACAATGATGTTGGAGCTGTTAGTGGCTGTGCAGTCGTAGGTGTAGAGTGAGTACAGGAGAGGGCTCAGTACACACCCCTGTGGAGCACCAGTGTTCAGTGTGATGGGGGATGAGGTGATGCTGCCCAGTCTGACCACCTGGCGTCTGTCAGACAGGAAGCTAAGGATCCAGCTGCAGAGGGAGCTGCTCAGTCCTAGATCCTGCAGTTTCCTGTCCAGCTTCGAGGGAACGATGGTATTGAATGCTGAGCTGTAATCTACAAACAGCATCCTCACATACGTGTCTCTCTTCTCCAGGTGTGACAGGGCAGTGTGTAGTGTCAGGGCTATGGCATCATCAGTGGACCTGTTGTGGCGGTATGCAAACTGTAGAGGGTCCAGTGAGTCGGGTAGTGCAGAGCAGATGAAGTCCCTGACCAGCTTCTCGAAGCATTTGCTTACGATGGGGGTCAGGGCTACAGGTCGCCAGTCGTTCAATGAGGAGATGGTGGAGGATTTGGGTACAGGGACGATGGTGGCCATTTTGAAGCAGGCTGGGACTACAGACACATCAGATGTAATTTCATTACATAAAAGCAGGTCTACAGGAATGAGTGTTAGGAAGGGATTTTAAGGAATTCACTGATTCTGCAAGACTGAGCTCATTAAACAAGTTACAAAGCCAAAGGGTCCTGATAGCAAAATCATAGTTCATGAAATATTTCAGAGTAATTGTAAATGTAAAGGCTGTGATGCATGTCTGTTCAACCTGTAATTATCTATAGACTCGATGAAAACCCTTACAGAGAAGCAAATCTTCTCTGTGAGGTGGAAAAGCAGCAAAGGACGTGTCAGGCCAATGAAAAGGTTATAGCAAAGCAGCATGACTGATTGTGAAGACAAACACGTGAAAAGTTCAGGTAGCAGTGGCTAATGTAGGCTATGAATAAATAATGAGGAACTCTGCTGAACTGTGAAACAGAGCCAGGTTCGGAGTCCTCGCCTCTTGACCTCTATACCGTTCCAAGTCACACTTCGCTGCAGAGTCAACAAATGCCAGCTTCCTGGCCTGCTCTCCATATGTGCCAATGTGCTTGAGGGTGGGGTGGGCCAATTTAGTGCAGTATTGTCCCATCAACCAAGATGGCCTCTCTCCTGGGACTATAATTCAACAATGCAGTGTTTACCAAACCTAGTCTTCAAGCAATTATGTGAATGTGTCCAGGGGGCAGGCTTTCCCTACTGTTCAAACTATAGAGTGGAGTTGGTGTTTGCACTGCTGTGCTTTTCAACTCCCCAGGGTCCTCATTGATTCTGAATGGGAATTAAACACCAGGTAGCTGGATCTGAAATGACAAAGCACCACACAGACGGCCGACCACTTCACCAAGTCTGCATGGCACAAACTGACTACACCATCGAATCAAACTGTCACTGCATAATATTTAGTAGGGGGATGAAGGGGTCGAGTTACACGCAGCAGAAAAAGACAACAATTCAGACCAATGACACACACACACTTCAGACTATGTAGTCATAGCGATCCAAGCTGCCCTTCCCCCGCCGCCCCGAATGAAGTCAAGGAACACTTATGACAGTCTATACTGGGAGAAATTTCTGTACCAAAATTGTCAGTGGTAATGTCACGGTTAGTCTGATGTCATACCCCCAGAAAGCCAAGTGACCTCCCAAGCTTACATATGTTTAAGAAAGACATAATGAAAAAAAAACAGTCATCATTTTTTTTCTTATTAAATATGAAGCTGTGTCGATGTTTGGTTCGCACAATTCTTCACACTTTTACTGCTGCTTGTTCACAGTGGGATATGGGTACTCTTTTTTATTTATTTAATGGATAACTCTCACCCACTGAGTTTTTATTGACTTTGATTGTCTTGAGCTGTTGCGCATGAAGCTGACATTCCAGCACGAAGGAAAGAGGATCTCGTAGTAACACCAGTACGCGCGTGTGCTTAATTGAATCAAGAGACAGTTCGCTTGCTGGAGTTCAAAAGCATAATACCAGAAACAGATGCTGTTTGCGGTTACAGATAATTCAATTATACTGGTGTTGTTGGCCTAACAGTCAGCCAAGGCTGTGGTAAAAGTGTAGAGGCCATCTCATGTTACCTTTCAGTGACAGAACACAACAGGTGATAATAGCCCTCTGGAGCTGACTTCTATAGATCGATGATATTGAACATACATAACTTATGGTGACACTGAAGACACACGCGATACATGTTCTGCCACTCCAAACGAAAAGCTCAGTGCTCAATAGCATGGCATCACCGGATGTAAAATATATCTTAAAGTCATGAAAACTTCAACACTACAGCTTTTCAAACGTCAAGCGTACCACTGCTCACACACCAAGTCCAGCATGTGAAAGATTTATGTCTGCTGACCTGTGCAACTATGTCCCATCATTCAAAAAGGATTTGGTTTAGATCAAATCAACACAGAGATGTCACAGATATTTCAATCGTGACAGCTCTGTTTATTGGAGGGCATAAAGGTGAGACACCAGACGGGATTTGCAAAGGGTGGGGGCAGTCTATTCTCAGCCGCCCGGTAACGGTCATCCTCTATATGATTCACAGCGCAGACACAGAGGCAAGAAGACAAACAATATCTTAGGCTGCAATATCAGCAATTAATCAAACAAATATATTCAACACTGTGTGGACTGTACACTCATTTGTTAGTTAGTTACCAAGCAAAAATATTTCAACTTCATATTTGTTCCATTCATTTGTTGTTTGCTCTCAATTGGACATAATGAGCAATACCAAGCCAGTTTTACATCCTAAAAACTGGATCGAGTAAATAAATGAACAAATATTCAATAAAGATAACTGCTGGCTGCTGCCTTAAGTGAAAACAGACATAGGTAAGAAATTCTCAGTACAGCACATTTTTGTACCTGCAGTCGCTCTTGAATACACGTCAATGGTAATGTTGAGGTGAATGCATTTCTTTTTCCTTTTGAATAACATTACTGAAAACTCAAGCCATCACCCTCAAGCGACCTGCATCTTTTATTCTCAAGAATTCCAGGCTCTCCAGGACAGAATAAAACACTCAGCCTAAATGTGAGAAGACACAAACTACCAACTACCACAGAATTCTGTTATTTCCGGTTTTTTTAATCATTGTCAAACATTGCATATCTTAGTTATAACAGAAAGCCTAGGCCACGCAAAATGGAGCCTCACAAAGTTTAAGAAGGTTTAGGAGTTGAGTACTCCAGGGAGACTATGAATAGCTTGTTTCTATGGACAAACTTAGCCCGGCTCGGAGCCTCTAGTTTGTCATATTACTTCTAAAAGCATCTTTACAGTTCATGCTGACTGGATTCAGTTATACAGCCCACCTGCATGTGAGCAACCCGTCGCCACACATTTACCCACAATCAACACTACTATCAACATATGACCTTTTAATAGGATACAAAGACACTGCTTCTTAACCTTAACTTGATTTTGGGGAGTGGAATAAATTGTTTGTATATTTGAGTTATGTAAGCAACTGATAAATAAAGTCGCCAGTGGGGAGTTTAAAAGTAAAATGAAAGCGTAAAGAGAAAGTTTGAGCTCACTTACAGTAAAAAGCTGCGATGTGAGTATGAAAGAGAGGATAAGTCCACAGATCGAAGTGGTCAGAGTGCCCATTTTCCACCGACACAGCACAGGCTGTAAATGCTGGGGGAAAGGGGGGAATACGAGGGTCCTTCACGCCTCCTGGCCACTGGAACGGTGCACCTATTTCAGACTTTTCTTCTAGAAACCCGACTGCTCCGCTGCGTCCCACGCCCGGTGGGACTTCATCAACAGGTAAAACGGATCCCTTCTCGTGTTTTTCTCTCTTTTTCTTTTCAAAAAGATTACGCAAATAAAAAAGATCGACACTATGGGGCTTCTTCTCCCTTGCACTCCGAAACTTGGGACTTGTGGTGGGTTGAATGCAGCCTTGCAAAGTCAATGGGAAGTCCTGTGCGGAGAGTGGCTGCCGAAAAGTAAAAGGCGGAATGGAATTCATGGAGTGCTCAAAGAGAGTACAACTAATACCACTGTGGGGAGACGTCGCCGAGAATAAAGTGTGTGGTGGTGGTGAAGGACGTTTTTAAGTCTTTACTCGAACAAAAGTAGCAAAGCACCACTGTTCCAATACTTTAGTATCCTGCAAGTAAAAATCCAAAAGTATTCCGGGTAATCTGTAAGAGTGCAGAAATTACTTGATTTCCAAAAGAACGAATTCGGCACAGTGGCTCAGTGACAGGCTTTGATACTGAAGTGGAATTTTGAATGGGTAATTGTAGGACTGATTTGATCAATTGTTGGAAAATTCAGTTAAAATGTAATTAAAAAAATGAAATTCTAAAGTACATTAAAACTGTTTACTGACCATCTGATTCGTGTTTAAATGAGGACAAGTGTAACAGCGTAGTTAATTATTATTTTATTATAACACATATGAGTTACTTTTTGTTTATTTTTAAACTAGCTACACATCTGAATTATCCAGAAATAAGTAACAAGTTTCAGGAACAACACCTAACCTAAAGGGATCTGTTATTTGTCTTTACCTACTGGGGGACATGCTAGTGCTTCATAAATATATATATATATATTTAGGAGACGCATTCCTGTAACAAATTCCACTCACTCAATATTTACTGACAACAGTAAAAGCAATGAAGAGTGCCCATCTGTTTGCAGTCAGGACTGGTTCAATTGGTTTGAAAATAAAAGTGTTGCTGCAGAGTTTATGAAAATATGTCGCTTCAGTTCTTGGCAATATATTTGGGCTTTTGTTGCCCTCTACTGGAGTTCTAAAGTGCAGCACACCGACTTCCCAGTGCAGAGATACCCCCACAACCATTTAACTGCCTTGCGTTGCTGTGTGCTGTGTCGCTGGAGACACGTCCCAAATATAAGCTTGTTTGTCAGGACTGAAGTCAGTAGCTGTTTGAAGGACTGGATGTCTGCATCCAACCATTTAAAAGAGTGATACTTTATCACTCTGAGGTTTGAGAGGGCAGCTGTTGCCAATTAAAAGCTAAACCCTGAATAGAGACAGTTATGGGCTGCTTCAGTTTGCTCATGAAAATAGACTAAAAGTAGATGAACAAAATGGGCTCATCATGTTTGGTTGGCATCTAGCGAATTTGACACCTCTGAGCTCCTATCCAGTCGAATCATTTACTGTACAAAAGCAGTCTTCTAAAAAATCAATTCTGTGTCTCATCTTGGAATATCAAAAAGATGTCAAAAGAAAACAAAACAAGGTGTGGAAGGGTAAATACACCAGAGACCTCACAGTAGAGCCAGCCGCGCCTAATCACACGTTTGAGACACATGCAAGGAGGGACAAGGGATTTAAGTTGTTTTATGTTGTCAGAGGTCGCATACCAAAAGTGTTGGAAACACTGCTGAAAGTTATGATAAACTTCCAAACTTTTACTCAGTGAACTCTTTTATTATACTGTAATACCATAAACACCACCATTACATAAACTAAATGCTACAGCATAGAGGATAAATAACACCTAAACTGCTGCAGTTATTCCAAGAGCAGGAATTTGTACCAGTGCTCTATAGACCCCTCTAGCCTCTTGGATACAAGAGGGAGCTTATTTCTGGGTCTGACTGGTCTGACTATGAATGTTTATAAGAGGCATCTCACTGACCACAGTGGTGTGATTTAGGGACTACTCCCTTGCTTGCAGTCAGCAGAAAAGTTCTGGAAAAATCATGTGAAAAAGTTAAGTAAAAAATGTCTTAACCCATTATTATAGGCCTCAAAGTCAACTTAACTTTCAACAAACTGTTTAGTTGTCTGTTTTGTGGCCGTGTTGGAAACGCCAAACGAGTCCTCTGTGAATTCCAAACGTGTGTTGGTGTTCAATAAAGTACTGTTTCAGCAGCATGTTTATGAAGCATAATGCCAGGAGTATATATACATTGTATGTAATTTCATGCCTTTGAGAGTTTTATTTTGTAGTTGGAGAAGTAAATAAACAATGGATTGAAAACTATTCAGAAGTTAAGATCAAGTCTCTCTTTTTTTTTTGTGTCCGACCCTTTAAAACCTGTAGCTTAGCAGTGTTGTTTGTTACTATGTATTGTGATATTACTGTAACTGTGATACAGTGAAGCTGGACTGTTCAGCTGCAGATTACAGCTGCCAAAAACCAACAGACCAGCCAGAAAAAATGAAATGATCCCTCTCTCAGCAAGGGTCAACGCCCCTTGGAGCCTGATGCAAATGAAGTTATGCTGAAAGAAGTTGGAGCACACATAGGATGCTCGTCCCAATCTTTTTCATTTCATCATAATATGTATGTCATATCTTTCCCTGCCCTCTGCTTCGATTGCACCAGATAAGTCCCAAGCAGCGTTTTGTTAAAAAAGTGCTGTTGGTAAATTAGAAAGATGGGAAATGAGAGTAACTCCAGAGTCACTTTGCAGATTACAAGTTGATTATCCGCATGTATAAAGCTACATGTCACAAAGACATCAAGACTTTATATAGTAAATATTTTGCTAAGAGAACTCAAGTTCATTTTAAAAATGACAAAATATTAAAAGAAGTAAACAAGCAATAAGTAAAAACATATATTGCAACTCTGATAATCCTACAAAATTACAGTCTGTAGATAGATAGATATTTTTATATTGTCTGTTTTACCCTTTTATTATTTGTTATCTTATGTGCAGCACTTTGTGATTCTGTCTAGAAAGGTGCTATACAAATAAAATTGCGCATATATATATATATATACAGTGGGGCAAAAAAGTATTTAGTCAGCCACCGATTGTGCAAGTTCCCCCACTTAAAATGATGACAGAGGTCAGTAATTTGCACCAGAGGTACACTTCAACTGTGAGAGGCAGAATGTGAAAAAAAAAAAATCCATGAATCCACATGGTAGGATTTGTAAAGAATTCATTCATAAATCAGGGTGGAAAATAAGTATTTGGTCAATAACAAAAATACAACTCAATACTTTGTAACATAACCTTTGTTGGCAATAACAGAGGTCAAACGTTTACTATAGGTCTTTACCAGGTTTGCACACACAGTAGCTGGTATTTTGGCCCATTCCTCCATGCAGATCTTCTCGAGAGCAGTGATGTTTTGGGGCTGTCGCCGAGCAACACGGACTTTCAACTCCCGCCACAGATTTTCTATGGGGTTGAGGTCTGGAGACTGGCTAGGCCACTCCAGGACTTTCAAATGCTTCTTACGGAGCCACTCCTTTGTTGCCCGGGCGGTGTGTTTTGGATCATTGTCATGTTGGAAGACCCAGCCTCGTTTCATCTTCAAAGTTCTCACTGATGGAAGGAGGTTTTGGCTCAAAATCTCACGATACATGGCCCCATTCATTCTGTCCTTAACACGGATCAGTCATCCTGTCCCCTTGGCAGAAAAACAGCCCCATAGCATGATGTTTCCACCCCCATGCTTCACAGTAGGTATGGTGTTCTTGGGATGCAACTCAGTATTCTTCTTCCTCCAAACACGACGAGTTGAGTTTATACCAAAAAGTTCTACTTTGGTTTCATCTGACCACATGACATTCTCCCAATCCTCTGCTGTATCATCCATGTGCTCTCTGGCAAACTTCAGACGGGCCTGGACATGCACTGGCTTCAGCAGCGGAACACGTCTGGCACTGCGGGATTTGATTCCCTGCCGTTGTAGTGTGTTACTGATGGTGACCTTTGTTACTTTGGTCCCAGCTCTCTGCAGGTCATTCACCAGGTCCCCCCGTGTGGTTCTGGGATCTTTGCTCACCGTTCTCATGATCATTTTGACCCCACGGGATGAGATCTTGCGTGGAGCCCCAGATCGAGGGAGATTATCAGTGGTCTTGTATGTCTTCCATTTTCTGATGATTGCTCCCACAGTTGATTTTTTCACACCAAGCTGCTTGCCTATTGTAGATTCACTCTTCCCAGTCTGGTGCAGGTCTACAATACTTTTCCTGGTGTCCTTCGAAAGCTCTTTGGTCTTGACCATGGCGGAGTTTGGAGTCTGACTGTTTGAGGCTGTGGACAGGTGTCTTTTATACAGATGATGAGTTCAAACAGGTGCCATTCATACAGGTAACGAGTGGGGGACAGAAAAGCTTCTTACAGAAGACGTTACAGGTCTGTGAGAGCCAGAGATTTTCCTTGTTTGAGGTGACCAAATACTTATTTTCCACCCTAATTTACGAATAAATTCTTTACAAATCCTACCATGTGGATTCATGGATTTTTTTTTTCACATTCTGTCTCTCACAGTTGAAGTGTACCTCTGGTGCAAATTACTGACCTCTGTCGTCATTTTAAGTGGGGGAACTTGCACAATCGGTGGCTGACTAAATACTTTTTTGCCCCACTGTATATATATATATCTATATATATATACATATACACACACACACACACACACACACACACACACACACACACACACACACACACACACTCTTCAGGTCAACAACCACTGGAATATGTTACCATTTTTTTAAATGAAATTATACAGTTTGGCTGATTTTATAGGCACTGTGTCTGTTCTATCATTTTTGTCAAGAAAATATGGCCAATAATGTGTTGCCAGACTGAGATTAAAGTTAGCAGTGCTTGAAGAATAACCCATAATCACAACCCATCCAGAGAGGTTGGAGAAAAGTATAAACCCATGCAAGCATGGGGGAGACAACTACACACAGAAACACCCGGGAGACTGATGAGACAGCAGTATTAATCCCTGTGACACTATGCTGCCCTTCAAGAAAGGGAAAAGATAGGAAATGAAGACGGATAAAAGAAGAGGAAAAAGAAGGTTGGTTGAAAAAAAATATTGTATTTTTTTGAGTTATATAAAGGTGTCCAAGGCCTACATTTCAGAAAAAGTACAATTCTCTCTTATAATAGCTGCTGTTATATAATGCTAATAAAATACAGTACTGTGCAAGCCTTGAGTCATCCCTCCTTCTTTCATATTTTGCATCTAAGCCAGACTTTGACATTTTTAAAGTGGTCATTTGCAATAGTTACAATAGACTTCGTGAAGGTCGCGTTCTGTTCAAGGAACTAGATTAGGATGATTTGAGTTTTGTGGCATTTTGAGCCATCCTTCTTGCAGCAGTCATCAGAAGATGTGCACACTGGTGATAAAATGATGGACAGCAACAATAGTCAGGTATGCTGGGCCATTTAAACAATGCTCAGTTGGCACTACAGGGCCCAAAGTGTGCCAGGATGATATTTGTGTTAACACCTGGAGAACACACATTTCAAGCATTAGAAAAAACATGAATTAGTAACCAGTTTTCATATCGTGAATTTTGAAACCATAGACATGTAACATTTTTCTGAAAGGTTGAAATAAAAGCCTTTTAAGAAATGAAATGCTCCTGCGCAGTATATACTGAGTTTGTACAACAGCATAAACAATGCAAGAGTGCCAGGCACTATGACTGGATTGTGATATCAGAAGGAAGAAACTTGTTTTCAGCAGTCAAGGTAAATAAAGACACTTCAAAAATAATATTTCCTTACGTATTTACTAAAAGCAGCAGTTAGTTTAAATCACTGACCGGTTTGTCTTTCTTGCCTTAAATGCACATTGGTGAATACTGAATTTCACATTTCTGTACACCCAAACAGCACTACACTTAAGTTGTCATGGTCTTAAAACTCATCTGCAGCACTGCACTGTTGAATGAGTGCAGGATTTCCTAATGAAGCCAATACTTACAGAATCAAAACTTGTGTCCACTGCGGCATACTCATCATTTTGTTCGCAATTTATAAGACAGTAATTACCCTCAGATATTTTAGTGTCATTCAAGAGTGCAAAGCATGACTGTACCAAAATTTGATTGTCCGAGTTTTTCCAAAACTACACATTTTATTCTCTTCTATGCTCTCAGTATTTATCAATAGTACTTAATTTTTGGGAGAACACATAACATTTCAAAGAGGAGGTTGGCCCCAGTCAATGCAGTGTTTCCTGTTGACAGAATGAAAGAAAAAAATGAAATGAATAAGAGGACAAGAGGGAAAAAATACATTAGAAAGAAAATTGGAATTTCAAAAGAATTTAAATGTTAAAAAAAGCACCTGTGGTGTCGTAGGGTGGTGACACCTCCACTAGATCACATCCAACAAGGTTCAGACCATGGCATCCCCGAATAATCTCAACTCCCTAAATCCAATCGTGACGATTGATTGAAAAAATGAATTAATAATGCAGCAGAAAATACAACATTTCCTTGCTTGGTGTATGTAGTTTTGTTTATATATAGCTAGTAACTAGTATAGTAAACTTTGAGGTGTCTTTAGCACTTTGATTACCTGTATGGGAGTGAGCCCTGCTATCTCAGGTGTGCCTGTTCCAGGAGCAAAGCCAGGGTCAAGAGCATCAATGTCAAAACTGAGGTATACTGGACCTTTGCCCATCTGATTCCTGACCTCATCCATTAAAGGCGCAAGAGATTTGAACCAACACTCTTCCACTTGCACAACACGGAAGCCCTAGAGGAGTAGAAAAAACACATAGTAGCCTTGTTATGAGAAAATTATTTTGAGACATATGGCATCTCCGAGTCAGCGCCATAAAATGCCCTTGTTCTAGATGAAAGCATTTGCATCTTGTTGTCAAAAAACAAGCACAATAAAGATATAAAATATACCAATTATTAGCATAGATTCTTGCAACTTTATATTAATCCAGTTATACAGCATTTACTCTCCAGACAAAATGCCAAAACCATTATGTTGAATTTATCTGAGGCATTTCCCTATGGGGAACAAGCAAGTAAAGGTTTATTTATCCAACGCCAAAAAATATATGCTACATAAGCATGCTTTACACACATGAAACAGTAACCTAGCAGAGTACCTGTGCCCGACTCCATTCATATGAGTCGGCAGAATAGCCTGAACCCCGAAGGCCAATCTGGACCACTCTCTTGCAGTCCAGTAATCCTTCCTCCACACATCGTCTGAATGGAGTCCCGTGGCCTATTTTCTCCCCCAATACCACATCACTGGTGTCAGCATGAGCATCCACATGGATCAAACCCACTGGGCCATGCCTAACAAATTATCACAGGAACAAGGGCATGGGGTATAAAATGGTTAAAGAGGAAGTTTATCAGTGGCAGCTATATATATTAACTGAGGACTCTTCCTGCATTCTCAGTAAACCCAATTCACACAAAACAGTATTCTTTCATTTTATTGCATTCTCAGATTGTAAAGTCAGTGAATACAAGAATGCATAACTCAAGCGACACCTGAATCATGCATTTTTGGATTTGTAGGCTGTACAGTTTTGGAAGTTTGAGGGAAAAATGCTTAATAGCCGTGTTAAGACAGTTCAACACAGATCAAAACAATGTTTATTGTATCCTAAAGTGTGTAAAAAAGTAGCACTGTATCAGCAGTCTCAACTTCAAATAATTTGCATCACATGTAGTTCCTAGGAATAAAGCACACTTACTTCTCAGCAACGGCTTGCAGGATTGGGTAAGCAATAGTGTGATCGCCACCTGCAGACAAAACTTCCTTAAAATCCAACCTTTGATCAAATCTTCTCTTTGGTTTATAGAGCTATCTAAATGGCTAATAATTGAACATGTATTACAACACTGTGCTTTGTTAAATATTTACTGAGCTATCCTTGACTATCTGTGCAACTGTCTGAATAAAATGTGAGCAAGGGCACTTTTAGAGCGTTTTCTTCACCTCTAGAGATCAGTTTTCTTCTCACCCATAGTTAGCGGGATGCAGCCAGTGGCCAGGATCTTTCTGTAGGCCTCCCTGATGCGTTTGCAAGTGTCTTTCAGGTCATACACATTAACGTTCACATCCCCAATATCAGCAACCACGAGGGACTCATAAGGTGCTGCCCTGGTGCCACTGTTGTAAGCCCTCAGCATGGCCGACTCAACTCTGATCTGTCGTGGGCCAAACCTGTGAACCAGGATGACAGCTATGATTGTTCAAGCACAATGGCTGCTGCTTGGATTTTGCATTTTTTTTTTTTTTATTGTGACAATTTTTAACCTTGATGGCATGAAAATAGTGTTTACTGTACACAGTAAGGTATTGGGTGGTCAAAATGAATTTGGACGTTTCAGCTTTTGTACATTCCCTGCAGCTGAGGATTTCTGTTGCCTATATATGTGTCAATTGTGTACAAGATGGTCTGTGAAGTTTTGCACAACATGAGGATAAGATTAATTTAGTCACTTTAATTACAAAAGTGAAACTTAAATCTATCTTTAAACGCCTGAAAACTCCAGCTTTGTTATGCATGCATCCAATGACAGTCTACGGAGCAGCAGGCCCATACGTTTAAATATTAGCTGCAGAGAAAAACACTACCTTGCGCCAGGTCGGTTCGAGGTCCCGGTATCAATTGGGACGCCAACAAACGCTGCATCAAGCCCTTCTGCGGTGTCCTGGTAAGGTAATTTGGCCATGGTGGGGATCCCGGCCACCCTGGCAACAAACTCGGCGCTCGGTGGTACATTGTAGCGTTTCCCTGAGCATTGTCTGTTCGGATTTATGCAAAGGCCTCGTCTGTCGCTGCAAAGAGCCAAAGTCTGTCGTGGCTGCAAGGCGAAAAAGTCCGCTGCTGCAGCGGTAATGGTACGACTCAAATGCAAGTTTCTCCGAAGCGACGACATGCCTGCTAACTTGAGCGTAAAGTTAAGTTGTGTCAGCAGGCCTTTAAAGGACTTCTGCTACTTTAGTGCTTTATTGTATGCTCGTAATATTTTGTTTTGCGTCGAGCAGCGTAATGAAAAAGTATAGTTGAACAGTATTTATTTAACTTATTAATTTGCACTGTACACACTGTGATATTGGATGCACAAATTGATTCTTATTATGCAGGTTAAGTAATGCACATCTTTGTTAGGCGACTGATTAATTCATTACTTTTCTTATAGGTCTTATAAGTCACAGCATGATTCGGAGCCCTGAAGGCAGCACGAGTCTGCAAATGAGTAATCGAGGGAGAAACCAGCTGTGACCGTCTATCAGGAAGAGGACCAGCGTTATGAATGATTGATAAACAAAACTATGAAGAATACATATAAAGTAGTTATAATACTCTCGATCGACAGAATGCGAGTTCTATGATTTTTGCTAATGACTTCATTAAAGTAGAATGTAGAAGAAAATATATAGGGAAAATGCAATATTACAGCTGTGATAAGATTGAAATTTAAAAGGAAGCCAAATTTGTAATTTCAAAGTTACTTTTGCTCCTGGACACGTCAGCCAAGCCATTTGTTCAATGTACACGACCACATAAGTGGAGTTCAACGGCTGAAGTATTTGTCATTTTCCTGAATTAAGCCTTTTTTATTTTATTCTCTCGGATCTCCAAACAATATAGCTTCCATTGTGATGCCGTGGCTTTACTCAAGATAACAGGTTTCTGGCTAATTGCATTGATTTACACAAGCAAAGCGAATACCCCTTTTTATTTATTTATTTATTTATTAGAAAAAGGACATCCGAGGGTCTTGCCTCCTACCAGATTTTATGAAATTCTGCTCTCTTTTTTGCACAGTCCTGTATTATATTGTCCTGCATAATCCTACCGACTCACGCCTTAGCGGAGGAGGAATTAGCTCCCGAAAGCCTCTTATCGCACATTGGAGGTTCTGAATGGGAAACAATTACTGCGCCAGACGGAGAAGGATTTTCAGTTTGTGCACTTCACCTGTCCTCCTGAAGAGGCAGAGCGAAGATCGTCATCACAGCAGCCTCAGACACCGAGCACCTCAGTCGCAGACACTCCTTTGGCTTGTTTCATTACATTGCATAATACCGACAAGCAATCATGGTAAGCGAGACCTTAATTTCTAACATTTGACTTGCTTATTTGTTACTGTTTAAGTCTAACATATGTGGAAATTAAACTAGGTCGTTTTTTCAGATCTGTTTCTTTCCAAATTACTGCAACCGTGCTTGTTGCCATGCAGTATTCCGCAGCTTACTGTGATCATACATAATTGCGAATAGAAATAGTGTGAGATGTCGTCAGTTCGTTAAGTTCGTACTTAAATGATAAATTACATTCATATGGAAGAGCCTGATCCTTATCCTACACAACTCCTGTAAATCATCTTAGTCTTCACCACTAGCCTTGTCCACTTGCCTTCCATTGGCTCCCTTATCAATTTCTGAACATGATCTCCAGCCATTTAACACAACGTGTATGTAAATGTATGTTACATAAATGCAGTGTCCTCTTTTCTAAAAAATAATTATGTCAGTGACATAATACACCATATTGTGTTTGTGTGTTATATAAAACTAAGCCATCCCTAATATCATATATGCTTAAAAATATACCATAAAATCAAATACAGCACAAATTGTGTTACATATAACCCCAGTGGATGATCTGAATGTGTCTTTTTAAAGAGCCAGCACACTGCAACATGTCTGACCTAGATAATCCTCTCTGTCTACAGTAATCCTGCAGTAGGCAGTTTTATGTCGCAGCACAAAATGCATGGGCTTCTGTAAAATAAATGGCAGACTGAGACTCAATCCAAATGTTATAATAGAATATAGAAAATGTATTATTAACGGTTTCTTGTGCAAGGTAGGGAAAATGTAATTTAAGCAGTTGTGTTAAAGGCAATTTAAAATACAGTGATTGTTTCATTTGTGAGCCCGATTAATGTGTTTTATCCCTCCTTTTTTTTAATTAGCAAAAACTGTTCTGAAAACTGGTTATCTTCAGCAAGTGGAAGACTCGTCTTTGTTTTTAATCCAAATCTTTTTTCCCCTTACACTAGCGTGAGTGTATTTCCATCCACGTTGGTCAAGCTGGTGTCCAAATTGGCAATGCCTGCTGGGAGCTTTACTGCCTGGAACATGGGATCCAGCCAGACGGTCAGATGCCCAGTGACAAAGCCATTGGTGGTGGAGACGATTCTTTCAACACCTTCTTCAGTGAGACTGGAGCTGGAAAGCACGTTCCCAGAGCTGTTTTTGTCGACTTAGAGCCCACTGTCATCGGTAAACTTCTAGAAATAAACTTATCGCTGTTGCCTCTTTAATTTGTTAAAACCCTTACATAATTTCTTAATGGTGGTTTTTTGAAGATGAGGTGCGCACTGGGACCTACCGCCAGTTGTTCCACCCTGAGCAGCTGATCACTGGCAAGGAGGATGCTGCTAACAACTACGCCCGTGGACACTACACCATTGGCAAAGAAATCATTGACTTGGTTCTGGACAGGATTCGTAAACTGGTGGGTAAATCAGAGCAGAAGAATCCTGCATAAATGACCTAACTGATGGGTATATCTCTTATCTGGTTGCTGTCTCTCCCTCTCTCTCCTCAGGCTGATCAGTGCACTGGTCTTCAGGGCTTCCTGGTGTTCCACAGCTTCGGCGGTGGCACCGGCTCTGGTTTCACCTCCCTGCTGATGGAGCGTCTGTCTGTCGACTACGGCAAGAAGTCCAAGCTAGAGTTCTCCATTTACCCAGCTCCCCAGGTGTCCACCGCTGTGGTGGAGCCCTACAACTCCATCCTGACCACCCACACCACCCTAGAGCACTCTGACTGTGCCTTCATGGTAGATAACGAGGCCATCTACGATATCTGTCGTAGGAACCTCGATATCGAGCGTCCTACTTACACCAACCTGAACAGGCTGATCAGTCAGATTGTGTCCTCCATCACTGCTTCCCTCCGCTTTGATGGTGCCCTCAATGTTGATCTGACAGAGTTCCAGACCAACTTGGTGCCATACCCCCGTATCCACTTCCCCCTGGCCACCTATGCTCCAGTCATCTCTGCCGAGAAGGCTTACCACGAGCAGCTCTCAGTGGCTGAGATCACAAACGCCTGCTTTGAGCCAGCCAATCAGATGGTGAAATGTGACCCTCGCCACGGCAAGTACATGGCCTGTTGCCTTTTGTACCGTGGTGATGTGGTACCCAAAGATGTCAATGCTGCCATTGCCACCATCAAAACTAAGCGCTCCATCCAGTTTGTGGACTGGTGCCCCACTGGTTTCAAGGTTGGCATCAACTACCAGCCCCCCACTGTGGTTCCTGGTGGAGATCTGGCCAAGGTCCAGAGGGCTGTGTGCATGCTGAGCAACACAACTGCTATTGCAGAGGCCTGGGCTCGGCTCGACCACAAGTTCGATCTGATGTACGCTAAGCGTGCCTTTGTTCACTGGTACGTGGGTGAGGGTATGGAGGAGGGAGAGTTCTCCGAGGCCAGAGAGGACATGGCAGCTCTGGAGAAGGATTATGAGGAGGTGGGAGTTGATTCTATTGAGGGTGAAGGAGAAGAGGAAGGAGAGGAGTACTGAAAGGGTCATGAGGGATTATACAGGAAACTTCAGTGTGTTCCTAAATACATTCCAGTCTATTTATTACCCGTTTGACTTTGTTCAGAGTATAAATTATTAAAATGCTAATATGGCTCTGTCTTAAATAAAGTTTCTGAAAAATGAAGTCTTGTATCAAACCTTTTTTTGCATAACAACACCTTTAAGTTGTGAGGGATTTTTAGAGAAACAATTTTAGTTTGTCCAAGATCACATGGAAAAATCCAGGTGAAATCTGCTTTGGAACTCCAAGAAAAAGACATTTAAGATCAGGCCGCAACTTGTTATTTCACAAACAGTGCTAATAATATTCATCATCAAAATTTAAAAAAAAAATGTATGGATATTACTATATCACCAATACGAGTTATTTATTTTGAAAATATCTAAAGACAAAGGAAAGAACTTGAACAACCACTTCAGGGCTCTTTAACACTTTTATTCTGAAACACTGCAAAAAAAACGACATACATCTAAAATCCGTCTTATAATCTTTTGTAGGAAGCCATATACATGCATCCCTTTCATTCTTTTTGACAGTAGATTATCCTAATATGAAGGATTAAGTCCCAATATTTCAATTATTATGAAATCTGTATATTATATTAGCTGAAAACCTCAGCTCTGAACAGGTGCATAACATGAGCATAAAGTGCAAACAGCAGCAATGTGGAACAAAGTCAGATCCTTAAGATTAATTAATTACTCATGCATGACACATCAGGATCAATGTGATTCATATGTTCTAGCATTTAGGACAGGTCTATGTTCCTTAGCTGTGAAATATCAGTGTACAACTGACTGCAACACACATATCCACTGACAACCAGATCAAGGGGCAACTTTATGTCCTACTTGTGAACCTTTCACTTGGTCTTACCCTACACAGTAGAGTCTAACTTGATCTGTATTGACCTCCACATTTACTGGTACAAAAAATTTTCATAGTTGCAAAAATAACTGCATGAATGTGAGTTTTTGTTTGTTTTTTCCCCCACAGGCTGATTTGAAAAAGTGTATCATAATTTGGAAAACAAAATATCCACTCACATAATAGAATTTCTTGCTGCGAAGCAACTCAAATGTTGGGAAAAATTAAACACAATCACTCCCCAGCAGCCGTCTCAGTAATCCACAATGCATTGCACGTGTAAGACAAACTGCATTTTTGTATGATGGGTACCAATAACACTTGAATGTTTGAAGTGCTTGAATTCCTGCTGATACAGTGATGATGGCAAGTGAAACATATTCACAAGTATGTGAGAAATGCAGATAAGTAACATTAGCAGCATTAGAGGACACAGGTTTGAGGGTCGGGTTCTTGAAAAGGGAGAATTACACCACTTGGCAATTCATGATAAATAATCAAAC